GAAGGGCTCACACTATTTCAGACTTTCTCCAAATTCTAGCCACCCCTCTTGCTCTTCAGGGAGTCCCCACCTCCGAATTCATAGAGTACACTAACGAAGCTAGAAAGGGATGCTTGACTTAACAGCCTCCCACTAGTCCAACAATGCTTTTCAATTCTTTTTTCCCCCTTTGTAAAAATGGAAGGACTCTTCTATTTTCTGTTATATTGACTCAGCTTTCTGTAGATTTTAGCCTTTCTGACTTTCATAGAACTTACTCTGCTGGATTAATGGTCACTCCTTCCTCCTAAATGTAATTCTAGAAAGTGTCATTTTCATGACAATGTCTCCAGATTTTACTCCACCTTGCTTCTAGTGTCAATTTGCATCTTGAGAAAGGTAGACACAAGACAAACAAATGAATGTATGGAAAAAGATTTCTTGGAGAGGGTTCCTGAAAAAGCAACAAAGTATCAAAAAGATGGTGGAAAAGGTTAGGAAGAACAAGAAGAAATAGTTAAAGATGAGAAGCATTTTCAGATTGAGATTCCATTATGACCCAGTGCACTAGAAGGCATATAAGGAAGGATTGATAGGATGAGTATCAGACTGAAGATTCAGCCAGGACAGTGTGCAGGCCTTGAACCATTTGCTGTGCGCAGTCAGAGGAAAATACCTCTATAACAGTGGTAAATCCACAAAGGCAATGTCTGAAACTATCATTCAATGATGTTTCTGCAGCAGGGTGTTAGAGTGGGGCGTTCTATCGACAATAAATACAGCCTCCTGCAACTCATCAGCAATTATACCTCACCATTTAAATCATTCTCATCAAGATTCCAAGGGATAAAACTAATGAACTCTCTTAAATCCTTAATTTTCTTGCCCTTTCCACTGAGTTTGCCTGTGTTAATCCCTCCCTCCTTGAAATTATCTTTTCTCGACTTCTGTGACACTACACTTTAAGCTTTATTTTCTTTTTTTCTGTTAAACTCCTAATTCTTCCTTGGGAGATTTCTCTTCGGAGAATCAAAGTAACTCTTCCCATGTTTCACAAGTGGCAAATATCATTATGATATACAAGGGCTGATAGATATAAGGAACCATCTACAAAGCTATGCTAGTAAGTTTGGGCTGTCGTATCAAAATACTATCACTGTATCACTGCCATCCCATTGTTTATTGATTTACTCCAGCTGGCACCAGTAATGTCTCCAACATGCCACCGGACTCCACGCCAGGTTGTTTTCACTTGGGGTGCTCCAGAGGGGTGGGTGAGAGCCCTCCCCCTCAAGGGACCCAGCCCCAGAAGCTGACCTCCACTACCTAACCATTTCCACCTCCAGCCACTTTCCAGATGCTCAGGCCAGGCCTCATGCATGAATAAAGACCAATAGAACCCAGGTAATGCAGAACTTTGTGACCTTAGACTACGTGTACAATGGGACCCAGGAGAAGAGATCCTCTTCCTGCTTTCTCAGTCTCTGGCGACCCAGGAGTCACACCCATAAGTCACTCCCTGCCAGAGCCAGATAATCTCCTCATCGGCCACCCTCCAGACTCATTGGCTGCTTCTCCCTGAAGGGAGCATAAAATGACCCCATAACCATGCCACTGGACTCCGTGACAAGCTGTTTTCACTCAGGGCACCCCAGAGTGGGGTGTGTGAGAGGCCTTCCTGCCCCAAGGAACCCATCCCTGGCAGCCAACCTCCACTACCCAATTGCTGCCATCAAAATACTAATGAAAGATTAAACAAAATGAATACATTTTCTTATATATCTGGAAGTTGGAATCAGATAAAGGAGCTGGACAATTCAATTGCTGGCAAACACTCTTTTCCTAGTTTGAAGATAGATATTTGTCTTCTCTCTGCATCTTCACATGACCAGGGGACAGATTACTGGGTTGGGGCAAAGGGGTGAGAGGGGCTGCACAATGAAATCTAAGAAGCCATAAATTCAGGGTGTGATCTGAAAAGAAGTTTTCCTGTTGATAGTCCAAATAGCAAAAAGGCCAGCACAATAGCTGAATCTCCATTAGAGATAACTCCTCAGAAATAAAGGCCTGATAAGACTATGAACATCTCAACCCAAATGGAGAAGTCTCTTTAGCAGGAATGGAAGGTCCTAGTAAAATTGAATGGGGGGCATCTGAACTCAAAGCCCTTTTTCTTGATAAAGCCTTAGCAAAGGATCCACATCTCACAGAAAGCCACAAGAAAATGCAGTTTGGAAAAAGCTTATAATGCCAATTTTGTGGGAGAAAGCAGGATGTATCATACTTGGTATTCATTAGTATCCCAGGTGTATAATTGTTTTGTCTTACTTTATGGGTCTCTGTCTCTACCTTTCTTTTATTTTCTTTTATTTTTTTTTTGCTATATCTGAAGGTGGTCAAGCACTGCTCTTAGCTCTCTTTGGGGTTTTTCCCAGCAAGCAGTGGTTGGGGAACCATATGGTGCTGAGAATTAAACACAGGCCTCCACGCATTCAACCAATTGAGCTGCTTGCCAGGATCTAGAATATCCATCTTAGCAGAATGATCTTATAGACAGTGTCCTTTTTGTCATGTCAACCCCCCCACACAAATTACTTGAACTGGGACTCAGACTTTACTTTTCTATTAGTTAAGAGGAAGGCTTCAGTGAATCTTATTAGCCTCAATTTCTCCATCTTAGAGTATACCCTGCACAGATTTTTGTTTTGTTTTGTTTAAAAATAGTTAAATTACACTGGCCCATATAACATAGAAAATCCTATCTTGCTCTAAAATTAACTGGCATCAGGTTATAAAATGTTGGGTCAAGACAGATGAAGTGTAACAAGTTAAATCTCTGCATTATATTAAACAAGTTCTATCATAATTTTTACATAATTTTGTTATGAATCTAATACTAAGCAATTTTTCACTAGTTCTAGTTAAATGTTGACTTTATTTTAACAGGATCTGTCCCTGTACCTTCAGGCTCAGTTTCCAACTTTTCTCAGAACTATATAGCTTAACAGTTGATCAGTGTTCTAGAAAGATATGATAACCTTTCTTTCTCAGTTTTCTCAACTTTAAAATGGCAGTAATAATAATACCTATAAAATTTTTTGTGGAAATTTTAGCAAATTAATTTAAATTAAAGTGTCTGGTACACAGTGAGTTTTATATAATGTTGTTAGTCATTGTTACGGTATAAATTAGACATTTTTCTATTTACCTTGATTTGAGTCTTGCATTAATCAGCCCTCCTCCCGAGTTTTATGACTTTTCAACTAATTCTTTTCTTTCCAAGCCTTCAAATATTTTCTAGTTTGTTAAATACCAATAACTTCAACTTTAGTAACTTTTGAACTTCCCTTTTCTCTTTAAGCAGAAGGTTTTTGTTTCCAGGACAAAATGAAAAATTCTTTTACCCTCTTTCTTCTGTTTTCTCCTCTTTCATTCCTTCTTGTGCCTAACTCCCTCCTTTTCAAGCCTGAATATGAATCTTCATATGACTTTAATAAAATATGATGAGTATTTTAGTAAAACAGTTGTAATGTTCTTATATTTATATCACAAGGTTCAGAAACTCAAGACAATTTAACCCTATGAAATCTATTACAACTTTAAGGGAGGGTGGGTTCTGCTGTCATAAATATTTGTTAACGGTTAAACAGAAATGCTAAGGCTCTGTGAGTTAGGATATAAACTATCCAAAAGACTGTCCTACTACCATGCAGAAGCCCCACAAAGCTCAGTTCCTCTTGAAAACTTTCAGATGAGAAAGACAAGAAAAGACGCTGTTTTTTTTTTCTGTACCTAGTTTTTAGAGTTATAGGAATTTAGCAGAAAAGCCTAGATAGACACAATCCTTCCTTCTCTCACCTCAGTCTGTCCTTACTCCCATTGCCACCCTAGGCAATATGGCATGAAAAGGCTCAGCAAGAAATATTCATTTGTAAAAGAAAAACAAATCATTATAGCAACACTCACTGGTCATTCTGTAGCAAATGTGCAATGCTCAGATTTTGTATTTTCCTGAAATAACATGCACATTTTAGGCATGAAATTATGATTGTTTGACTGTGAAATGCTGCACCCAAACACCATGTGGCTTTTAGCAGCATATCATCATATCAAGAACTATTTTTACCCTTTGGCGATTTTTCCTGCTTTGGCTCTGAGAGCTAGTCCATACGGTATTTGTATGTGGCATCAGTGGCAAAGATTTTTTAGAAGAGTAGATTTCTTATGTAGTACCAAGTACCAGTGATTGCACAGAAATTAAACCAGAAATTAAAATAACCTGCTTTCAGGTTCAACTGGCAACAAATAAAATCATAATGAATATGAAAGCGGGAGAGATATAAGGCTTCAAAAACATACTTTTTCTGTTCTTGTTTTCTTAAAAATTATTTAAGGTACCGACAAAGTTTTAATATATTAGGAAAATGATCCTGTATTTTAAGTGTCTAATATACTTTGCTAACTCAATGACTCTGAATCCGATCGCTAATGAACTTTGTCCAGCATCTTATTTAAGAAAAGCAGCAAAATTCTTTAGATCTTCCATGCATTTGCTGCCTTTCCGAAGAAAAGAGCAACTTCTTACAAGATTTAAGCACATATTGGTCCCCTTCCAGGACGCAGACATGAAGAAGCCATATAAGAAATATTTTGAAAAGACAACCAAAATTAGCCAAACTCTTTAAACTTCCAAAATGCTTGGAGCAAAAGTCTGTTTTAGTTTAATCCAAATTAGTTTGCAGACTTAACTAGAAAGAGAAGCTATAGGAAAATATGAGCTGGCTTCATGTTTGTATCTTGTCTATAGCTACAAAGTTGGCTTTTGTATTTTGGAGAGATAGATCTGGTTATCGGGTTTTCCAAACTAGGGATAATATAAAGAATTGTGATACTGAGTATGAATCCTTAGGTTCCAAAACTCAACTTTCACTTAAGATAAACCAAAACTCTGCTAATTCACAAGGAATTGTACTTTTTCCACTTTCTGAACAAGATGGTAACACAGTAAGAAAGAGTAATGCAAGACTATACTTTCAGGAATCATTTTTATAGTTCACTACTAGAGAAGTTTCTCTGATGATGTAGAGCACTGAAACCATGAGGAGGTGTCAGAGCATCCTCTCCGGAGCATGAAGTCGGTTCTAGGTGTTGCTTTTGCAACTGCCCTTTACCATTGATGATCGCTCTTCTCTTCCCTTCGAATAGTGAGAGGAAGAGGATGTAATCAAGAAAAGAATAAAAAGCAAAGAAAAGATAAAAGAAAAAGAAGAAAAAAGAGAAAAAAAAAGAAAGATTAAGGCAACCTTACTAACATGCAGCCACTTTTCTCCTAGGTACTCTTGTGGTTACTTCTAGCCTCAAAACACTGTTCCTTAATAATAAGATATTCGAGTTTCTTTCTTTAAACTGAAGCTCAGTTTATTCATTCAACCTAACTTGTTACAAATCCACTGCAAAGAAATTCAGGGATTAAACTTTTAACTACAAACAGAAAAATTATTCTCTCTCATTCTAGTCATTATATTGCAACAAAGACAAAAATCGGTGGATTATCTTCTTATTGGGAAAACTGAACTAAACTTTGAAAATAGAAGATAAGACTTTTTATCAAAATTGGTAGGTTTATAAAGTTTTAACTGCATGAATTTCTCTTCTTTCTGATAATACTCCTTGTACATTTTATAAGTTTATATTTTCTAGAATCAATAGTTATGCAACTTGTTCCTTTTAAATTTGGTCATTGGGCCTGGGCAAAATGGGCTAACCAATGTTAGCAAGCAAGTTTGGGTTTGATCCCTGGAACGATTAGTAGTGACTCCTGAGTATGAGTAGTTTCTAAGGACTGCCAGGTGTGACTCAACCCTCACACCCAATTTATTTAACAAAATTGCTTAAGGAGTGTACTAGGTAAAGAAACAAAAGACTGAAGTGATGCATTTCTTCCTAGCTAATTTTCTCAGTGAACTATCTCCCTGATAATTAGATTTAATTAAAGCAGTAGAACTGTCATTCTTTATCACATATGTTTAAACCTCTACATAGATACAATGAAACTTCTGATAATGAAGAATAATCATTAAGTGTTTATTGGTGAGAACTATTACCCTATTATAGGATGGCTGAACAAGAGATTCAGAGGAGATAACAGGTCCCATAAGTTCACAAATCTAGCAGAGGACAATTAATACATTAAAGCAATTCATTTGGCTTTTAAGCCCATATATATACTATTACACATCCATATCCTGTTTCTCACTTCAACCAAAAACTAGTTTACTAGTACCCAATGACTGGTTACCTAATGTGTACCCAATGAGGTACTAGAATTGAGTACCAATAGTTACCTAATGATGTTCCAGAAACAAGTGCACTGAAAACCCAATTATTCAAATTGCCAAAACTGACTTTGTCGAGATTTTCTTTGAAATTGTGTTTCTTTTGCATCCCTTCACAGCGGGTAGGGCGTTCGCCTTACAAGCGGCCAACATGGCTGACCCGAGTTCGATTCCTCCGCCCCTCTCGGAGAGCCCGGCAAGCTACCGAGAGTATTCGATATGCCAAACACAGTAACAACATCTAGTGAAAGAGAAATTTCCCTTAAAATGCAGAGAAGTCTGTTTGTTTGTGTTGCTATTTTTTTTAATTAAATCACTGTGAGATATAGTTACAAAGCTTTCACGATTTGGTTTCAGTCATATATTGTTCCAACACACATCCGTCCACCTAGAGAGGCCCTTTCTCAAAAAGATATTTCCTAGGGTTGAAGAGATTGTACAGGGATTAGGGCATATGTGTTCCATATTGCTGACCCCTGTTCAACCCCCAAATCACCTGGTACCCCAAGAAATTCTGAGTACTGCTGTGGACGCCGCAAGCACTACTGGGGTGGCCCTGCTCATCACTGCATCCTCAGGCCCTTGCAGTGAACCTCAGGTCCAATTGGTAGAGAAATTGCCTCAAGTGGCCACTAGGTCTCCTGAGCTATGCTTGGGATCCTCCCCTCTTGCTTACACCCCAGCCCCCACCCCCCAGAAAAACCTGGAATTTTCTTATTAGATAGACTAAAATTTCTTCTAGTTATTGTAACCTATTACTCAATTATGATCAAATAGTAGGAAGGGGCAAGGAGGACCAAATAAAAAATGCCTAAGTTAAGTTTCTCAGTTTTCCCAAAATATCATATATTACTCTCTCTCCTTAAATATATATATATATATATATATATATATATATATTCCTAAGATACTTTTCCAGAAAAGCATGTTAGTTCTCTAAGAGAGAATTGTCATCCTTGATGTTGCTTTAATACATTATTCAGCTTTATTCTCTGAAGCAACTTACAGTACTCTAATTGTTTACTCACCCAGTTACATCTAAAATGTGTACTTAGGAATGCTTTATAAGATATTTAACAAAGTCTGTCTTATTTAACTGCACTGATTAGAAGGGGCAAGCATTTCTTTTTGGCAGAGTATGGCCAACTACTTATTTCATCCTGTTTGAAATACTATTCGTCCTTTGGAATGTCAAACTTTGAGTTGAGAAGAACAATGTGTGGTTTTAAAAAATAATAAAAGAAAATAACAATAGTGATGATGAGAAGAGAGTGGCATAATGCAATTCTTGGTCCCATGAGACCGTGACTAGTTCACGGTGGAGGGGGTGGGGAAGTGAGTCCCATGATGTTACCAAAACAAAATCTAAAAAAAAAATCTTCTGTGATTACAAAAGAAGCAAAGTTTAAATCTACCCTGTAGGAGTGAGGGTCACCAAAGCACTGGGTGACTAAGTGAGAAAGACTCGAAGAAAATGTCTTTGGAAAAGAGCTACTGGTGAGGGGGAGAGAAAAGTTTCCAGGCAGCCTGAAAACAAACCTGATTTTAATGGTGACCATATTTAAAGTATAACAGAAATGTCATGGAGAAAAACCAGGACAGTAAAGAAAATAAGCAAAAGTTATGAGGAGTCTTTTAAATGTTTCTCATTAGCTAATAAAAATAAAATTTCTGATTGGCGGCTCTTGATTTTTTTTCTGTTTTACCTATATAAGTTCCAGATTTTGCTCTGAAAAAGACAATTTCATTTGTGAGTATAGAATTTACCATTTATCTTAACCCTAAGTCTTGTTAGAAAATTGTGGTCTATTATCCTGCCCCCTCACTTTCCAAAGATCTTCGTGGAGCGGGGGACTATATGTAAAAATCGCTGAAATGATAGCTCAGTACCATTTCTGTAATTCAATGTCATTAGTGTAAACATAGATCTGCAATGTTTCTGTATTTTATCCACCATCATTATAACAACGTAACCCCCTCCTCTGCCACTGTCCCTAGATCCCTTTTTGTGTCCTTCTTCCACCCCATCCTCGTACTTGAAAAACTCAGTTCTGTTGGCTAATTCTCAGGATTTGTTTTTATTAGTCATTGTCTGTTCCCTTCCTCTGCTTCTTTATATTATACAAATGAGTTAGATAATCTGGTGCTTAAATCATTCTTCATAAAATTTTGTTTAGTCTGATACCCTCCAGTTCCATCCAGGATGCAAAAACCTGAAAAATTCCATATTTTCTTATAGACAAGTTGTGTTCCATTGTGTGCAACACCACAATTTATTTGTCCACTCATCTTTGGTTGGACACTTAAGATGTTTTCAAATATAGGCTATTCTAATTATTGCTGCAATGAATATATGTGAGTGAATATCTTTTTGAATTAATTTTGGATAGATGCCAGTGGTGGAATCATTGAATCATATGAAAGTTCTATTTAAGTTTTTTGAGAAATTTTCATCTGTTTTCAACCGAGGTTGATCTAGATGGCAATCCCTCCAACATATTGGATTGAATAAGTTTGTTACTCTTCACATTTCACCAGCATTGATTGTTTACAATCTTTATGATACATGCCATTCTCACTGGTATGGTGTAATATCTTATTGTCATTGATTTGCAGTTTCTTAATAAGCAGTGATGATGAATAAGTTTTCATCTGCTTATTGGACATCTGTACATCTTGGGGAGATATGAGTTTAGCCATTCCTATAAACACTTATGCTAGAATTATTTTTAAGGTGGACACACCCTACAGTACTTGGGGAACCCTTCACCATAGGTGGAAATCAGATATGGGTGTACTAAGAGCAAAACATCAAACCCAAAATACCCTTAGGTTTTCATGCAGACATTCACTCCAACCCTTTGAGCTATCTTTCATGTACCAAAACTGCGTTTGTGTAATTTTAAAGGAACATAATAATATGCTTTCTTTTCCTTGATTTTAACAATGCAGAATATTATTTATTTATTAAAATAAACATTTAAATTAATAAATCTAAATATTGTTTGTCCAAGAAAAAAATATTAGCAAAAAGTTTATGTGAATTATTAAGAGAAATATCTAAAAATCTCATTCAATTGGTAATACAGTGCAATTTTTCTGTCCAAAGTTTCTTTCTTTTGGTGTTGTGTTCCTGATTTAAATAAAGAACATAATTGCAACCACTCTTTGTACATGTCAGACACCTCATTTCTCCAAACAGTCTTCTCCAAATGAAACAATATAGATCTATTAGCGTAATTATCACATAAGGTCATTTACCACTTTGTAATTGCTGCAGGTTGTGAATGATGTATGAAATGGAAGCATCTGCAGTGCAAATAGAACATAGACAAGAATGTGCTGTGTGCTAATTAGGTAACTATCTAATGATAAGACCCTAGGGAAACACAGTAAAGTAAAAAATCCCACAGTGCTCTGCAGTCACAGGCAACAAAACAGTCCTAAGGAGTTCAAAAATATATCTATTATTAAGTATAATCCTTCCTCTCCTCATACGCTCCGAACTCTGTTCCCTGCATGCACACATCCTTCCTATTTTCTTCATCCTGTGCAATGGTAACTAGGCTTAGACCATCTGACTGCTGTGAGAACTGTTTTATTTATTCACACTAACAGTTGAATACTTGGTCTAGAAAAGCTTTGATAAGTTTTCATTTTTGTTGCTCTCCTAGTCTTTTCTCTTGAAATTTTGTTTCAGGTATGAGTTATATTGCTAAGTAAGTAATAGTGGTGAAGCATAGTCATGACAATCTAACCGGTGTGCAAGAAATAAAGTTCAGGTGACTTAAGGGAAAATCATACGTTTTTATAGCAATTCAACTGCTTTACTGCAAGCAGAATACATAAATACATATACATAAAGTGTTTAATGAACTAAATTACCAACTAATATACTAC